TTTTTTTTTTTAAAAAGACTAGACAGTTACAGTTGTTGCTTTGCTGATGGCAACTTTGAGATAAGAGTGATGGCTTTCCTGGTGCAAGGGCTCTCTGTGGAAGTGCAGTTTGTGAAGTCTCCAGAGAGGGCGCCAGGGTGCGAGTCCGCCTGTCCCCTCTGTGCACCACCACCCGCCCTCTTCTGTCGCTTTGAGATTTGTTTGTTTTAGACAGGATCTTAGCCCCTCCTAGCTGGGACCCCAGGTCTCGCTGCATTGCCCGGACCAGCTGTGCCACTGTGCCAGTGCTTGAGTTTGAATTTTAGCAACTGTTTCTTGTTACAGAGTATGGCGTTTGCGAGAACTTGCGGAAGCTGGAGATCACGGGCGTGTCTTGTCGAGACGTCTATGCAAAGCGTGAGTTAACCTACTTGTTATCTTCATCCACCATTAACTGTACGAGAGCAGATACACAGAGCACAGAAAGTGACCCACAGTTCTGCCTTCTCAGACGCCATCTTAGTCCAATCACATCTTAAATATAGCGGTGGTAGCAATAGCTCTTAAGTTGGGGAGTGGGGGCGGCTCTCTTTTTCCCATGTCATGAACCCTGCTTTTCAGTCTGTTGGATAAAAGTGTCTTTTATGAGACATCAGGGACCTTAGATCTAAAAAACGTGGGCTTTACCGGAAGCAATTCTGGTGCTTCCAGAGTTGTCTGTTCCTCTAGGTTCTGGGCCTGCAGCCTGGTGCTATGGACAGCAATCGTAGTTGGAAAATGAAGCCGTAGCATCTTCCATCTAACCCCTCAGTTTACAGAGAGGCTGCCCCTGCACCATGCTTCACACCTTTCTGGAGCTCCACCTTCCCTTTGTTTATTTTTTGATTGTCAAAGGGCGTGTTGCTCACCAGAGAGAGAGAAGAAGAGAGAGAGAGCGAGCGAAGGCCCTCCCCATGGGCATGGTCACACTGCAGTCCTGCCTCCATCTCTCCACCCTGTTGGGATTGAGGCATGCACACACAAGCACCTGGCGTGTTTTTCCAGTTGCCAGGGCCAGGATTTGAACTGCTGTAGGCCATGTGGGACCTGGATCCTTAAACAGTGGGCTGCGGGGCTGGCCCTTCCCTTCTATTTTCCGTGAGCAGAAAAGCCCCTTCTATTTCTTATTCCTCCTGTTGCTTGCTTTCCACAGTCACTGGTGATGTTTGTTGAATGCTCAGAGTCTCCTCAGGACTGGAGTAATTTCTGTCTTTTTTTTTTTTTTTTTTTTTAAGAATTGTTTAATTTTATTCATTGCTATTATTTTATTTTATTTTTATTTTTTGATGTTGGCCAGAGAGAAGAAGACAGAAGTAAAGTAAGAAAGCAAGCTGCCAGGTCTAGGACCCGAACCGTGGCCAGCCATGTGGGAGTCCAGCAGCCTTAACCACCACACCACCTGCTGGCCCCTTGTCTCGCTTTAAAGATATTAAAATTTTATTTTATTGCATGTGAATGATGCAGGTGCCCCCATCAAAGTCTCGTCCCACCAAGTGTCCTCTAGCCCTTCAGCTTGTGGGGTCTTGGACATACATGCGTCCGGGATATCTGGGTTGACTTGGGAGCTGGACTTGTGCTTGGCTGGACGGCCTCCGGCGCAGCCATTCCGCATGCACTGCCCACACTCCTGAGGCTGGGCCTGGCAGGCCGTCCGGCCCACGCTCCGTCTGCTTCTCTGTTGCTAACACTGAGTGTCACTCTGGGCGGTGCAAAGGGTAGAAATGTATTTAGCTTGTGGTTTTGGAGGGCCGAGCTCGAGGACCTGCATCTGGTGAAGGTCTGGTTGGCGGGGACTCCCGCAGAGTCCTGAGGTGCAGAGCTTCAGGTGGCAAGCGCTGCACGTGGGTGTGTGTACATGTGTCTGTCTGTCCCTGTCCCTCCATGTCTCTATCTCTGCCCTAGCCTCTGTCTCCACAAAAACATCAGGAGTCACTCAGGGGACCCCATCCCAGTCACTCCCCACAAGGGCCCCACCTCTTAATCCCATCATCAGATTACATTTTCTCTGAATAGCATCACAGTGGCGAACACTCAATTCTGTGGGGACACTCAGACCCCAGCAGCCCATATCACGCGCACACGCAGACAGACTTCTCTTGAAGAATTGCAAGCAGGCCCACTGCCGTGGCATAGCAGTCAGGCAGGTGCCCTGCAAGGCTGGAAGCCAAAGGGCCGACCACAGGTTTGGATGCACGGATCTGCCTGAGGATGTGCTGGGTGCTCACCCAGAGCACTGAGAAGCCGGCGGGCTGAGGAGAGGAGGGTTGCATGTGACGGGGCCCCGCCGAGGGCACGGGCATGTCTCTTTCATGAACACGCTATCATGAAAAGTGAGAAGAACTGTAAGCCCCGGAAGTCCCATCCTGGTAGGGACACAGAGATCTGTACCTGCCCAGGTGTCGGGTGACCCATAGTACGCAGGGGAGCACACACCGGGGCTATCTCAGCTGTGAGCAGAGGTTGTTGCTGGGTCCTGCCTCTCTTGTCCCGTGGAGGGTGGGCAGTGACTGGGTGCGGGCAGGAGACTGCTGTGGAGAGGACCTGGCGCAGGGCAGGAAGGTGAGGCCATCTGGAGGCTTCTTTCCACTGCTGATTCTGGCCCCCTTGATTTACCTTTACAAAATACAGGGGAGGGGACCAGCAGTTAGCGTAATGGCTGTGTCGCTGGACTCCCACGTAGTCGACCGCGGTTCGAGTCCTGGACCCGGTGGCTTAAAACTCACATCGGGTGCGTGTGCGTGTGTGCCCAAGATCCCGAGAGGAGAATGGAGGAGAAGGGATTGCGGCGTGGCCATCCCCCCTGGGGGGTGATTTCTCGCTTTCTGTCTCTCTGTCTCTCTCTGTCTGTTTGGTGAGCGCATGTGCCCTATAGCAAGAAAAAAAAGAAAAAAAAACTCTCCAAAAAAAAGTATATATATACAGGATAATTTTTATTGTTTGTTATTTAGCTCGCCAGAGTATTTGATCTGCACCAGCAAAATAAGTCTCCGCTTCCAGTGTCACAGTGCAGAGCTGTGCGTCCTGGTTTTGCTTTGACAGTCCTGTCCAGGGACGACTGCTAGCCTTTGGGAACGGGTGGTAGAGGGCGGTGGAGGAAAGGCAACCCTGGCTCCTGGGAGAAGTGGCTGAGTTGGCCAGTCTCAATTTAGTGGCCTTGGACTGACCACAGGGGCAGGTTGAGGGGCACACGAGCATGTGCACTCTTTTTTTAATTAGCATGCGCACTCTTCACAGCAAAGACAAAGGAAGGGCCAGACCCCACTGATGAGTTCTCAGGTGGGGTGGTGCATTCCCTGGCACCCTGGGCCACAGCGCCTGCTCCCCCAGCTCTGGAGCCCCACTGAGCCATCACCTGGGACCTCCCGAGCATGTGCTGGCCCCAGGAGGAGTGAGTGAGACGGGCTGGGTTCCGGAGCTTCTGGTGGGAGTCCAGTGGTGAGAAGGGTCAGGAAGTGGTCTTTCCAGCCAGGTCTGGCAGCTTTGGCCACAGCTCGCCTCTCAGAGCTGGCTGGCTGGCTCCACGTATGCGGGGTCTTCAGAATGCTTATGGGAAGGCCCCTTGGGAAAAACTATGCATGGATTGCAAACTTCTATTTTTTTTAAAAATTTCCCAGAGGGTGTGTGTGCTCGCCAAGCAGAGAGAGAGAGTGGAGGAAAATGAGAAAGCACCTCCCATGGGGGCTGGTCACACTGCGTCCCTTCTCTTCCGTTCAGTGTTTTTGGCATGCATGCACATGTGTCCAGCATGTTTCCCACACCACTGGGTTTAGGGCTCAGACTACATGGTCAGCCATGTGGGATCCGGCAGCTTTAGCCACCATGCCACTGGCTGGCCCACGTTTTAAACATTTTCATACAGAAATAACCTTTGGTTCCTTTATTCCCAGGAATGTTTCGATGTTCCTTGTACTTAGAGGAGTTGCGTTACTGAGGGAGGGTGCTGAGTTGTACAGAAGGCTCTGGCTGTGGAAAGTGGGTCCGTCTTTAGCCCTCTCCCTGCTGTGTCTGTTCAGGTATAAATCCTCGTGTGAAGTCGGGGCGTTTTATGAAAATTCTTCCTGATTACGAGCACATGGAGTACAGAGATGTTTACACCTGCCGTACGTACCTCCCGCGGGCTTTCGCTGTGGCAGCTGTGAGCAGGGGCGGGCGCTGCATGGAGTGTGTCCTTTAACTCACAGACTAGGACGGCTTTGCCCTGAGCAAGCTGAGTTTGTGGCTTCTTGCTGTCCTTCTAGTTTGCTGCTGTGACATGCCATGGCTTGGCTGTGATGGGGTCACGTCTGAGCTGTGGGCACCTGGGCAGCTGTACACGAGGGCCAGTATTCCACCGCAGCTTTTGGCTTGGGGGCATGCCACCCCCTCGGTTGGTGCACATGTTGACATTCACCATTTATGGAAGAAGCTACTCTGAAAGCTCATACAGAGGCAGTGAGCAGAAGACAGAGTAGGAACTGTAAGACTTCTATTCTGAAATAGCAGAAGTTGACTTCTAAGCTTCATTAGTCAATTGCATCTAATTAGCACATGCAAATCACATGCGCGCGTGCGCACACACACACGCGCGCGCACACCCAGTATAGCCAGGACAGACAAACACAGGTAACAGCGTTGATTCTTTTTTTTTTTTTCAAAGAGTTTTTTTTGCTATAGGGCGCATGCACTTGCCAGAGAGACAGAGAGATAGAAAGCGAGAAATCACCCCCCAGGGGGGATGGCCATGCCGCAATCCCTTCTCCTTCATATTCCTCTCAGGATCTTGGGCACGCACGCACACGCACCCCGTGTGAGTTTAAGCCACTGGGTCCGGGACTCGAACCACGGTCGACTATGTGGGA